ATGTCTTTTGGTTGGAGCATTTAATCCATTCACATTTAAAGTAATTATTGATATGTATGTTCCTATTACCATTTCTTAATTGTTTTGGGTTTGTTTTTGTAGGTCTTTTCCTTCTCTTGTGTTTCCTGCCTAGAGAAGTTCCTTTAGCATTTGTTGTAAAGCTGGTTTGATGGTGCTGAATTCTCTTAGCTTTTGCTTGTCTGTAAAGGTTTTAATTTCTCCATCAAATCTGAATGAGATCGTTGCTGGGTAGAATAATCTTGGTTGTAGATTTTTTCCCTTTCATCACTTTAAATATGTCCTGCCACTCCCTTCTGGCTTGCAGAGTTTTTGCTGTAAGATCAGCTGTTAACCTTATGGGGATTTCCTTGTATGCTATTTGTTGTTTTTCCTTTGCTGCTTTTAATATTTTTTCTTTGTATTTAATTCTTGATAGTTTGATTAATATGTGTCTTGGTGTGTCTCTCCTTGGATTTATCCTGTATGGGACTCCCTGTGCTTCCTGGACTTGATTGACTATTTCCTTTCCAATGTTAGGGAAGTTTTCAACTATAATCTCTTCAAATATTTTCTCAGACCGTTTCTTTTCCTCTTCTTCTGGGACCCCTATAATTTGAATGTTGGTGCATTGAATGTTGTCCCAGAGGTCTCTGAGGCTGTCTTCAATTTCTTTTCATTCTTTTTTCTTTATTCTGCTCTGTTGTAGTCATTTCCACTACTTCATCTTCCAGGTCACTTATCCATTCTTCTGCCTCACTTATTCTGCTATTGATTCCTTCTAGAGAATTTTTAATTTCATTTATTGTGTTGTTCATCATTGTTTGTTTTCTCTTTAGTTCTTCTAGGTCCTTGTTAAACATTTCTTGTATTTTCTCCATTCTATTTCCAAGATTTTGGATCACCTTTACTATCATTACTCTGAATTCTTTTTCAGGTAGACTGCCTATTTCCTCTTCATTTGTTTGGTCTGGTGGGTTTTTACCTTGCTCCTTCATCTGCTGCATAATTCTCTGTCTTCCCATTTTTCTTAACTTACTGTGTTTGTGGTCTCCTTTTCATAGGCTGCTGGTTCGTAGTTCCTGTTGTTTTTGGTATCTGACTGCAGTGGGTGAGGTTGGTTCAGTGGCTTGTGTAGGCTTCCTGGTGGAGGGTACTGGTGTCTCTGTTCTGGTGGATTAGGCTGGACCTTGTCTTTCTGGTGGGTGGGGCTGTGTCTGGCTGTGTGTTTTGGGGTGTCTCTGAACTTAGTATGATTTCAGGCAGCCTCTCTGCTAATGGGTCTTGCTAGTTGTTTGGCATGGGGTGTCCAGCATTGTAGCTTGCTGGCTGTTGGGTGGAGCTGGGTCTTAGTGTTGAGACAGAGATCTCTGGGAGAGCTCTTGCCAATTGATATTACATGGAGCCGGGAGGGCTCTGGTGGTCCAATACCCTGAACTCGGCTCTCCCACCTCAGAGGCTCAGGCCTGACATCAGGCTGGAGCACCAAGACCCTGTCAGCCACTTGGCTCAGAAGAAAAGGGAGAAAAAAAAGAAAGAAAAAAAAATTTTTTTAATTAAAAAATTATTAAAATTAAAGAAATAAAAAAGTAATAGAAAAAAAAGGGAGCAACTAAACCAATAAATAAATCCACCAGTGATAACAAGCATTAAAAACTATACTAAGGTAAACATAAAAATCAGAAACAAGTCATTCGCAGAGAGCAAACCCCAAGTCTACAGTTGCTCCCAAAGTCCACCACCTCAAATTTGGGATGATTCGTTGTCTATTCAGGTATTCCACAGATGCAGGGTACCTCAAGTTGATTGTGGGGATTTTATCTGCTGCTCCTGAGGCTGCTGGGAGAAATTTCCCTTTCTCTTCTTTGTTCGCACAGCTTCCAGGGTTCAGCTTTGGATTTGGCCCCGCCTCTGTGTGTAGGTCACCCTCAGGCTTCTGTTCCTGCCCAGAGAGGACGGAGTTAAAGCAGTGGCTGATTAGGGGGCTCTGGCTCACTGAGGCCGGGGTGGGGGGAGGGAGGCGTACAGTGGTTGTAATTGGAATGTGGGGCGAGCCTGCGGCAGCAGAGGCCAATGTGATGTTGCACCAGCCTGAGGTGTGCCATGTCTCCTCCCAGGGAAGTTGTCCCTAGATCATGAGACCCTGGCAGTGGCAGGCTGCACAGGCTTCCGGGAGGAGGCATGTGCATAGTGACCTGTGCTTGCACACAGGATTATTGGTGGCTGCAGCAGCAGTGTTAGCGTTTCATGCCCAGCTGTGCTGTCCGCGCTGATAGCCACGGCTTGTGCCCGTCTATGGAGCTCATTTAGGCAGTGCTCTGAATCCCCTCTCCTTGCGCACCCCGAAACAATGGTCTCTTGCCTCTTAGGCAGTTCCAGACTTTTTCCCGGACTCCCTCCCATCTAGCTGTGGCGCACTAGCCCCCTTCAGGCTGTGTTCATGTAGCCAACCCTAGTCCTCTCCCTGTGATCTGACCTCGGAAGCCCGAGCCTCAGCTTCCAGCGTCTCAGGCTGGTGAGTGCTGGTTGGCACCAATCCTCTGTGTGGAAATCTCTCCGCTTTGCCGTCTGCACCCCTGTTGCTGCGCTCTTCTCCGTGGCTCTGAAGCTTCCCCCCTGCCCATCCCCAGTCTCCGCCAGTGAAGCGGCTTCCTAGTGTGTGAAAACTTTTCCTCCTTCACAGCTCCCATCCCTATTCTTTCGTCTCTGTTTTTTCTTTTTTTCTTTTTCCTTACTCAGGTACGTGGGGACTTTCTTGCATTTGGGAAGTCTGAGGTCTTCTGCCAGCATTCAGTAGGCGTTCTGTAGGAGTTGTTCCACATGTAGATGTATTTTTGATGTATTTGTGGGGAGGAAGGTGATCTCCACATCTTACTCCTCCGCCATCTTGAAGGTCTCCCCTCCCTGTGTAGTGTTTTTAAAGTGTATTTATTTTTAGATAATTCTTTTTCATTGTGGGATTAACTCATTGAATTCTTACACTCTTCTGCCTATGCTGCAAAATATACTCTGGGAAGTGCTGGTTTAGAGGATCTCTAACTTTTCTCATCATTTCATAGTGCATGGCTGGTGTTTAGTGTGGACTCAGACTCTGCCAGATTTTACAGATCCTAGGCCAGACCACTTTCACCTGGGGCTACAGCAGTCCCACTCCTCAGCAACGTGTTGAAATGAGTCCCTCTAGTGGGCAACAGGTGACATGACGAATTGAACGACTAGTAAAAGAAGGCTGGGGGGTTTATCTGATGGTTTTGGATTCTTTTCCATTTACCCAAACAAAATGATGATACAAATTTCACTCATAAAAGAGCCACTCTCTGTTTTTTTTTTTCCTGGTTTTTAAGAAGTCTAAAATTTTCAAAACTGTACTTCAGTTCCAGGAGCTGCAGTTTACCATTTTCCCAACACTTCCATAACCAGACTCATCACACAGCAGCAGGGTTGTGTGCCCCCACAGTATGTGTCACACCGTGTTGCGATGATCTGTTTCCACATCTGTCTCCCCCAACTGGACTGAGGAACCTCTCACTCATCTTCAAACCTCCTTGGTCTCTCCCGATGCTGGCACCTTCCTTAGGATGGGGGTGCTCAGGAAATAGGTGTTGAATGAAAGGAGGGAATACATACATAAATAAATAAATATTCTTATGGTCAAAATGGAACAAGGTGGGTTGGAAAATAATGCAGGTAGAAGGAAGTAAGATTTCCTATAGATTTGGGAAGAACTTTATTTGTGTGTGCAAATAGTAAGTATTGTATCCTACCAATTTGAAACACACTCTACCATAAGACAGATACTTTGTTGTTAGGAAAGGGGGCATGAGAGTGTGGACCCACCACATAGTTCAACTTTCTGAAAAATTTCAAACACTCTGCTGGATAATCGTGCCAAGAAGCCCCTCCCTGATGGTCTATCCCTCACTCTCTTCCCTTTTTGGCCACCCAGTCAAAGGGCTTCTTTATGGATACACTATTTTCGTTTTCTTGAATTCTACAGTGATGTTCCCGAGTCTCATGGGAGACACTCCCCAGGTGCCTGCTGACCCACTCCATTCCAGGAATGTCAGGGGACTGAAAACTCAGCCAGATCCCTCATCCAGTGAAAAGTTAAAATCAAAGCACGCTAACAATTCCAAAAACAACTAAATCCAAAACTACCTCTAAAAATAAACAACTCCAGAGCTCAGGGTGCTGGTTATTAGCCATGATCGCTCAGCTTCCCGCCCACCCTCTGCTCTCTGCTTTGTGGTTGGGGCCATTCGCCTCCTCTGCCAGCGAGGGCTTTGCTCCTCCCTGTGTGCCTGGGTTCCCTTCAGTATTGCCGTAGCAACTGGCCTTCACCCTGAGAGCCCCAGTCGGTTCCAGAAGCTGCAGTTTACCATTTTCCCAACACTTAAGCAGCCTCATCACGCCCCTTCCTCTAGCACCAGCTGGCAGCAGAGTTCTGCATCCAGTTCCCAGGCCCGCCTTCAAGTTCCTGGGGGCACCTGGGGAATGCCACCCCCCCCACACACCAGAGGGCTACCCTCAGCCATGTGGGGCCCCCAACCTCTTCCCTTGTTCCTTCTGCCCTTGGGCTGGTAGCTGCTTCTTATAGTTAGAATCTTCATGATATCTCATTATCACTTTTTTTTCCCATTAAAATCTCCAGTAGCTGGATAGCACTTCCTTATAGTAAATCCTTTCTGTTAAAATAACTAGTATAGTGTCTCTCTTGATTGGATCCTGACTGATGAACTAAATAATTATAATACTAAATAATTCTGAAAATAAACCTGAAAATAAAATAACTAAAAATAGTGAATAGAAAAAAAATTGAATGACAAAGACAAAACTGAAGAGAAATAACTGAGAATAAGTAACTCTGAAAATAACTCAGAAACTAGCTCAAAAATTCTGAAACTAAAAAATTCAAAATATAATGTTCAAAAATGCAACAACTGAAAATAAAATAATTTAAAACCAAATAACTAAAAAATAAAAAACCCAAATAATAAATGAATGTAAAAATAACACAGAATCTAAAATAAGTGAAAATAAATTACTGTGAATATAAGTAACTCTAAAACCAAATAACTAGCGGAAAAACCCCAAAATAAAGACAGCTATTTTATTCTGAAAATAAAGGAATTCAAAAACTTCCAGTGAGTTTTTACTATTCAAATAAGTAACTGTAAAATAAATAATTCAAAAATGCCAATAACGAAAAATAGAATAACCATGAAAATAAATAACTCAGATATTAACAACTGAAAAGACAGATAATTAAAAATGAATAATTCTAAAGCTAATTTGGAAATATATAACTATTAAAACAAAGTAACTATAAATAACTGAAAATAAATAACTCAAAAACTAAGTAACTTTAAAGACAAAATAATTATAAACAGGTAACTTTAAAGCTATAAGATTAAATAACTAGAAAACTAAAAACAAATGAAAATTAATAAAACTAAAAATAAATAACCGAGGATAACTGAAACTAAAAACTAACAAGTCTAAACGTAAGAAATTAACCTGTAACCAACCCTCGCTAAAAGGAAACAATCCTGGAACAAAGTAACAAAAGTATCACATTAACATTCCTGTGGGGATTAAGGGAGGTGAACACAGGGCTGCCATGTGGAGTCTGAGCAGCTCTGATCTGAGGTTCTCAACCTAGCTCCCCACTTCCACCCCAGCAGAAATTTGGCAATGTCTGAAGGCATTTTTGATTGTCATAATTTGGGTAAGTGGGTGGGGGGGTGTTACAGGCATCTAGTGGGCAGAGGCCAGAGATGCTCCCAAACATCCTACAAGGCACAAGAAGTACCAACAACGAAGTATCCAGCCTGCGAAGTCAAAAGTGCCGACATTGAGAAACCCTGCGCTCAGCTCTCCAACACTGGATTATGCTAACCTCCAAAAGGCGCGTGTGCCGAGCAGCTCGAGGTTCGCGGGGTCCGCAACCAAGCCGGCTGCGCTCGCGCAGGCGTGCCTCTAATGGCGCAAGGTTCTCCACGGGCTCTGCGCCAAGTCCCTGCGCAGGAGTGCGTCAGCACCTGCAGGTTCTCCACGGGGTCTGCGCCGAGTCCCTGCGCGAGCAGGGCTGCACCGGGAGGGGTGGGCTCCGCGGGCGGATGGCGACCGCTCCTGAGGCTCCGGCAAGATGGTCCTGTTGCCCCCGGGCAGGGCAGCGGAGAGGTTCCAAGGCCCCTTTGCTGCTTCTGCTTAAGGGCGGGCCGGCCTCCGCATCCACAGCAGCGGCTCCTGGGAATGCAGGAGGCCGGGGAGGCTGGGTTGTCTGGGACGAGTGTCAGTTCTCTGCGGAGGGCGGCCTCAGGCCCCCTTCCCGCGCCCGCACTGCCTCTGCTCGAAAACCGGTCTCCCCACTGGGGTCGAGCAAGCCAGCGGACATCCCAGGGCTCTCCTCAGTTTTGTAAGTGGCCCTGAAATTCCAAGAAGAAAGTCAGAGGAGCAGTGGCTAACAAGTTCGCTTACTTTTCTTTCCGTTTCACACTCACGTGTCCTCTTCGCCGCCCTCTTTCTCTCCCTGGATGCTTTCTCCCGTTTCCTGAACAGACTTGGAGGATTCATAACTGTCGTCCAACTGGCAAAGCCCCGACAGCTGGAAGGGAAGGGACAGGGGTGTAATGCTGCGGTTGGGTGGGGAGCGGGTCCGGTCCACACGGCGATTCCCGCGGGCAGGGCGGGGCCGCCCCAGCTTTCCTATGGGGCCACTCAGGTCCTCAGCAAGAGACCCTAATTTTGGCCAGAAACCAGGGGATCGCTAAGGAGCCGGGGATGTGGGGCCTGAGCCACTTTGCAGATCCAGTGACCTCAGCTTCCTGGATTAGGCCGAGTCCTTAATGGGTGAGAATCATGTAAAGGAGGGAGAGGGAAGGAGGAGAGGAAGAGGGGGCAGGAGAAGCTGATGAACAGGGATGAGGGAAAATATGAAAGAGGTAAGAAGGAAAGAAATTTACACTCAGAGCACTGCTCTCCTTTTCCGTATCTTCTGCACCTTCACAATTGTCAAAGGTTTCCATGGAGATAAACTCCCTGCTGGAGCAACCTTGGGGAAAGAAAAGGAAGAATTTGGCTGGCCGTGGGGGAGAGGGCGTGGGAGGACAGGCCACGCAGCCTATGGCAGGATGGAATGGGCAGCACCGGTCTCCAGGAACCCATTCTCGCCATCTCTCCCTCCTCTCCCAGGACTGCACTGCTTCACCTGGGCCAGGAGGAGGGGGCCTGTGATCTCCAGGTTCCTTTTTCCAGCTCAAAATTCTGTAACTGTGAGAAGACATGTCCACATGGTGTTCAGAGTCCTACCTCCTTGTCCTCCAAGAAAAGTCATTGTCTTTTTGTGCTTGACGACCTTCCTGCCTTCCCTCCTTCCCGCCCTCCTTTCTTCCTTACCTCCTTCTCTCCCCTGATTACTGCCCATTTCCCATTTCCTTGGCAGCCTCTGCCAAAAGTCACTGCTCTCCCCGTGGGAAAATCAGAGGGAGAGGAAGTACATCCTGCCTCTCTTGCCACTGAATGATTAACTTACCAATTAGCCACACCATTGTGCACCTGTTCTGTGCCAGGGCTGTTAAAGACACTGGGGAGGAACAGTAAATCCCACCAAATACTGAGCCTGCTGTATGTCTGCTGGGATGTCAGGCATTTGTCAAAAGTTAAGCCTCACACAACTGTAAGGACCTTAGCCCTTGGCCTGTAAACACTGCAGTTGAAATCTACACATTTATGCTTTTTTTTTCTTTTTTTTCTTTTTTTTTGGTGCCGTGCCAATCAGCTTGTGGGATCTTAGTTCCCCGACCAGAGATTGAACCCAGGCCCTCGCAGTGAGAGCGTGGAGTCCTAACCACTGGACCGCCGGGGAATTCCCTCCACATTACTACTCTAAAGACGGGATCTCTGTCCCCACAATTCTCCCAAGTCAGCTTAGGGAGGCGAGCATGTGCAGAAAGATCTTGATCTGAGGGAGCCCCAGGTTGAGCGTCAGCTGAGTCCAGTCCATCCCGCAGGAATCTGAGCACAGGAGAGTTTCAATTTCGGTGAGAATTCAGGGGGAGGGGCCTTGTGGGGGCGCTGGAGCGAGCGGAAGTAGCCTGCAGTTGGGGTTGGGGGGCACAGTATCTCTGGGAGCAGGCATCCAGCAAGAGGGAGCTCCCGACCTGCCGCCCAGAGGCCCCCCCCAGCTGCGTTCGGGGCCCGGGGTCCTCCCCGGAGCAGGGCCGTGAGGGTTGTGCGAGCACGACGGGGAGCAGCCGGGCAGCCGCTTCCTGGAGGCCTCCAGAGACGCCGTGGGACGACGCAGGGGCAAAGCCTGGTTTAACTCCGGAGGGAGCGCGTAGGAGAAAGTAGCTCTGGGAGGCGCCTCCCACCACCCTCCTCCAGGTGTGACTGCGGGGCACCCGCAGTAACCCCCAGAGACGCCTCTTTAGGGTGGCCATCCCGCGTGGGTCCCCTTGGACCAGGAGCAGACAGTGAGGACGGAGGGATGGCCGTCTTGCTGGAAAGCTCTTAGGGAGGAACAGAGCAGGAGCGGTTGCGCCCTTGACCAGCCCCTGCGTGGATAGAAGAGCTGCGTCTGCAGGGGCCGTGGCCTCAGTGCCCCAGGCAATGCCCGGTGCCAGGGGCCTCAGAGCCGCCCGCTGGGAGGAGCCCGGGGTGGTAGCGGGGCTGGGCGGCAACCTGGGAACTGAAAGACGTGAGGACGAGGTCCAGACATTCCTCGAGGTAAGGGGCTGCTTTCTCCTCTCTCCTGTGGACTCTGCAGGCTGGGGAGTGTGCGGGGGCCTCAGCCGGGCACAGGGCTGGCACAGAGGGGCCCTCGCACACTTGGCCACGCGTTGACTGCATTATTTCAGGGTCATCCAGGCCATCATCCCCTGCCTCCAGGTACGGATTTGCCTGGGCTGGCAAGAGGACCAATCCTCCGAGCACAGTCAAGACCCAGACACCACCTCCCTGCTGGGGCCGGCGGTGCACATGGGCTCCTCGGCTCCTGGTACCACAGGTGAGGGTGGGGGCCGCCTGGGGCCCCACAGGCCTCCAGTTTCATCTAGGGCAGGGTTTTCCATACTCCTTAGAGTGTGACCCAGGGAGGGGCAAATTTTACATCCCAGCGCAGTGCACACACAGAAATACATTCACAGAATTAAAACCAACGTTTGTGGAACCATATTGTGCTTACGGTGTGTGATGTCCTCATCTATTCTGTTCTGTTCTTTCTAGTCTATTTGTTTGTTCTGTTCTTTTATTCTGTTCTATTCTATCCCGGAGACAGAGGAGGAGAGGGGCTGTGGGAGGCGGCGGGGCCACCCACAGTCTCCTCACAGGACCCTTCGAGGGAGAGTTTCTTCTGAGGCAAACTGCATCTGCCCTGGGTGAGCCCTCATGTGTCTCCCCCATGGGCCCCGGGCTCTTGGCAGCAGAGACAACACCCTGTTCACCCAGTATCCCTCATGGCTCCTGGAAGAAACCCAGAATTCTTAGAACCCGCAAGTCTTGGAGAACGTCCCTCAGTCAAAGCCCCCCACTTGTGCAGGGGAGGAAAGTGCAGCTCACTGCAGTCTTTTGCTGTATCTTTGTCATTTCCATATTTAATCCCTGCCTCCTGGATTCACTGGCCATGGGCTCTGTGGTACTAAAATCTTAGGTACTAAGTCTTAGGTTTTATGGAGGTGGCAGCACTGAGGGGACCCCAGATTCTGGGTCTGGCAGGTCATAGGCACCTGAGTGAATGAGAGGCCCATTGCCTGGGGTAGGAGCAGGGGCTTTGGAGTCAGTCAGACCTGAGTGCAGTTTTGACTTTGTCTCTCACTCACTGGCTGTGTGATCTTGGGTAAGCCACTTAACCTCTCTGAGCATCAGTTTCCTTGTTTCTAAAATGGGGATAATAATACCTATTTTGCAGTTTTGATGTAATGATTAGCAAAAATGTTTGTAAAGTAAAATGGAATTTAATAAATAACACTCATTATTATTATTGTTAATAGTAATTATGATAATACTAAAGAGAAGGTCTCAGAACCGCTCTGGGAACTCCAAGTGTGCTATTATTACTCACATTTTGGGGATATTTGTCTGCCATTTTCTTCATCCTCATAAACATCTGGGGGAGGAAACATTATAAAGTTAAAAAATGACTTTAACGGGAAGCAGAGTGCACACGCGCATGTGCACACACACACACACACACACAGCAGAAAAACCAAACTGAACATACAGACCCTTGACAAATAGTTAATCTGATTACAGCAAAACTTCAAGTGATAGTTGCATCCTTGGAAAATGAGCAGAATGACCCTGGTACCAGCCCAGGTCCAGCAGTGTGTTGGGAAGGTATACCCTGAGTCTCTGGGGCATTCCCAGTCCATGTAGAGAATAAGCGGTGGAGTGTTGGTGGAGAAGGACAGGAAGAATAGGAAAGGTGGGCCATGAAAATTTATGCTGATGACAGGGTGTATTCTCTTTCTCCTCAGTGGATGATCTTCATGGCATACACCACATAAACCCTAAAATATTTAGGGAATTTAGTTTCAGTTAGCACCTAGTGTTTAAAATCCTGATCTTTTTTTGTTTAAAAAATGAAATATAGGGACTTCCATGGTGGTGCAGTGGTTAAGAATCTGCCTGCCAATGCAGGGGACACGGGTTCTAGCCCTGGTCTGGGAAGATCCCACATGCCACGGAACAACTAAGCCTCTGCGCCACAACTATTGAGCCTGTGCTCTAGAGCCCATGAGCCACAACTACTGAGCCCACGTGCCACAACTACTGAAGCCCACGCACCTAGAGCCCATGCTCCACAACAAGAGAAGCCACCACAACTAGAGAAAGCCTGCGCGCAGCAACGAAGACCCAAGTACAGCCATAAATAAATACATTTTTAAAATGAAATTTATTAACAAGTGAGCCCATTAGTGAGTTTAAACTATCCTCTTCAGAATACATGTTTCTGGTAAACTATAGACTTTGAAGATAAAATTGTGGATTTTCCCTTGCTGTCCACTAGGTGACACAAAGGGACAACTGTAGATCCTGCTAGTTCAGAGACAGCTCTTAGCCCATAGATTTCAAAGTGGCAAACTATTTCTATTTTCTTTCAAACTGGAGTTTCCTTTGTTCCTCTTTTCCTTTAAAAGAACTCTCTCTATTATATGAACTAAAGTACATCATTTTCACCTGGGGTTGGGGGAATGGAGAAGTAACGCGTTAAGCCCCTGGGGCTTTCCTTCCCTTCCCTGGAGGAACAGACCTGGGCAACTAGTTGCTATTTAATATGCCAGCAGCAATCTAGGCACCAGCCTAAGAACTTCATCTAATTCTCACAGCAAGACTATACAGTATTGCTTCCATTTTGTAAAATAATTAATGAAAAGAATTTAAGCACAAAGAAGTTAAGTAATCCATCCAGAAAGACGGAGCTGAAGTCTGTAAGCCCTCAGCGCTTTGGCCCTTAACTGTGGGCTCTGCTGCTGAGCTCTTTCTCTGCCTTCTAGGAGTCAGCCAGTGGGCTCATGTTCTGCCTAATTCATCCCAGTAGCTCTGCAGGGCTCACGACAGGTGAGATCTCCAGGATGCTTCCACAGGTACTAGGCTGGATTAGGATCTTTTGCTTGGTGCCCCAGAGTGTAAACTTGGATGTCTAGGCTGGTCTATATTTGAAGTGTCCATTTCCTTTGCATACCTGTCTCTGGCCAAGAGGAAAGGAATCACTCCTAAACATTCAATTAATTGCTTTCAGATTCCACATATTCTCACAGCACTTTTTTTTTTTTAGTGCATTTTTTTGTTGTCAAAGTCCCTGCCAGCTTCTAGAGCAGTCCGAGCTTGCCATCTTAGACTTTCAGGGCTGCTAGGAGCTGGGGTCAAAGAAACCTCACAATTGGGAAACTATCACCTAGCTCAGCAACCAGCTGCCCTCTGATGTGTCTATAGCTGGTTTTAGCCAAAGCCTTGCCCATTTCATCAGAGATTTAATGAGAATTTTTCCATAAGACTAAAATATAAAGCCCCCCAGGCAAAGGAAACAGTTGTCACGCTTGAGGAAGTCATTGATCCTGATTATCATGAGGTGGTCAGGCTGCTACCTAATAGAGGCAGAGAAGAACGCATCTGGTGGTCCACTGGGACGTCTCCCAGTGCATACTCCCCTGCCCTGCTGTAACTGTAAATGGGCAAGCAAAAGAACAATAGCTAGACAAGAGTCTGGGACACCCACTATGTGTGCCACCAGCAGAAGTGCCAGATGAAGGGGAAGGGGATATAGAATGAGTGGGAGGGAGATGATGACTTAAAGGTACAACCCAAGTGCAACTGCAGCAGCACGTGGCAGACATAGATTTAAGTTAAGTAGGACACTTACTATGTCCACTGGTGGAAATGTCCCCCTTGGGAACCAAGACCTCCAGACCCACTGAGGCTGAAGTTGCAGGAATGGGAGGACAGATTCCCTATGTGGGTCACCAGTAGTGGGATAATGAATAAGGTCACAACTCATTCAACCTTTTGGCTCCCAGATTCATATTTTCTGCTTACTGGGGTCCTGGTGCCATAAAGTGGCCATTGGTTTAAGGTATATACTGCATCCTAAGGTTAGCACCCCAACCCCTCAGTCTCAGGTCCAAACTGCTGCTCACCCTTGCCTTCAAGAGGCTACTCCATGGCTCTATCAGGTCGGCAGCTTCTGAATATGTGGTAGGACCAGTGGGTTGGTCCTGCAGTCACATGCCCATGGCTGTTCCTCTTTTGCCACCGAGTGAGTCCCCCAATCAAAACAATGTTCTATCCTTGGACAGTGCTGCAGACTGAGGCACTGAAGGCAGGAAAGGCACATGTGTCAATCCCGTTCAGCGTGAATCACGGTACTTTCCAGCTTGGAGGATCTGATGAAATCAACTATTCTCTTCAAGGAACAGTATCCAACTGAGGGCTCAGCATGGATCTCTGTGCTGGAAGGTTGGACAGTCAACAGTGGCAGTATCTAGATTGGTCTTGACGGCAGGGAGCCCATGCTGCTAGGCCCGTGCACAGCCTCCCATTCTGCTGCCAAAGCTTCTCCATGTATGAGCCCATTGTGCACATACTGGGTTGCCAAGGAAGAAGCTGGCTGACACCTCCTGGCCAAGTCATCTAGTCAGCTTGGTTCTTTGGTAACTTCTCTGCAATGGATGTTCTCTGGGGGGCATTAAAGTGTAGCACAAAGATCCTTACATTTTGAGCTCGTGTCCATAGGTCTATGTGCCTCTTCCCTAGTCAGATTATGTTGTAATTTGATGCTGGTTATTGTTCTAGAAGGGGATTGGGAAGGGGGTGGGGATGTATCCTGAGGAGGGCAAGCATTGTCTTGTACAGTAAGTCCCCTACATATGAACGAGTTTCGTTCTGAGAGCGTGTTCATAAGTCCAATTTGTTCGTAAGTCCAATAAAGTTAGCCTAGGTACGCAACTAACACAATCGGCTATACAGTACTGTACTGTAATAGGTTTATAATACTTTTCACACAAACAATACATAAAAAACAAACACAAAAAATAAAACATTTTTAATCTTACGGTACAGTACCTTGAAAAGTACATTAGTACAGCACAACAGCTGGCATCCAGGGGCTGGCACTGAGTGAACAGGCAAGAAGAGTTACTGACTGGAGGAGGGAGAGGAGGTGGGGGATGGTAGAGCTGAAGGATCGTCAGCAATAGGAGACGGAGGGCAAGCTGCAATTTCACTCATGCCTGACGTTGATGGCACAGGTTCTGGTTCCTTGCTGGATTCAGTTCCATCTACCCTCTTGAAAAAATGGTCCAGAGATATCTGGGTAGTAGCTCTATTTTTCTCATCATAGGTGACACGGTAGCACTGGATTGCATTCTGAATGGTTGCTGCAATCTTCGTGTACCATTCTACATTCGGGCCCTTTGCCTCAAAAACTAACCGTGCCTCCTCAGATAAAGAAAATCTTGCCATTTCCTGCGTCATGAATCTCTTCCGTTCTTCAGTTACTTCTTCTTCCTCTTGTCGCTCCACTCTCTCAATTATTTTCACTTTCGTTTCCACTGGTATCGCTTGGTGCTTCTTAGCAGTACCAACCACATCACTGCTGCTTTTACACTTGCTTCCAGACATCCTGGGCTTGAAGTAAAGATACTGCACTACTGTACTGTATACAGCACTGTGAAGTACACAAAAGCACAACCACTGGTAGAGGATGCACGCACGTGACAATGTACGCCAGACACACGAACTAACGTGACTGGACACGCAAACGCACTTCTGCATCTTTGAAAGTTTGCAACTTGATTGTTTGTATGTAGGGGACTTACTGTCTCATCTGAGACTTCTGCATCATCTTGCGGGGAGGAGAAGGGCCAATCTTTCAACAAGGGGGAATGGGCCACTTCTGCCAGCCCCGGAGAACAAGGGCATGTACCCAGATATTCTCCAGTTTTAGGGTCCTATATCCTCCCTGTCAGGGCCTGACTTGCCTGCTTCATCTATTGGCACTAGGGGCCCAAAATAATAAGGCAGCAGACTTGCCTAGGCTGAGAATTCATCCTTTTCTCAAGTACTGCCCTCTGCCCTCTGCTGTAGGCGATGAGGGGCTGAACACTGGAAAGGAGGCCCTCTGATTCTCACAGTGCTTTAAATTGGCGATTAATCTGAGGCTGTCACTTTCTTCACTCTCTTCAATGCATCAGTGGTGCTTAGCAATAACCACCCAGTTCCATGTTCCTGATAGTTAATATTTTCCCTAAACCTCTCAAATGCTAGAGACATTGCGCCAGCTGGTGCATCCCTGTCTGCCTGTATCTGATCCCAGGTCACCACCAGGGAATGTCTTAGCAACTGAACTGCTACATAGGCCAGGGACCAGCACTTCCAACACTCCACCTACCACTAGCAATGGAGTCCTCACTGCCATTTGGCCAGCAAGTGACCCAACACCAGAATCCCATCCTTTCTAGGACCTCTCTGGGTACTAACTGTCTTAGGTCAGGTTTCCCAGAAGCAGATTGTACAAGCGAGTTAAGGAGAAAGGGCTTTCAGTTGAAATGTGTAAGGCAATGAGGGCAGAAGACAGAGCAAGGAAGAAGCCAGGTGCAGACGAGGGTT